GAGAGAGAGAGAGAGAGAGAGAGAGAGAGAGAGAGAGAGAGGATCCCATTTGCTTTGGCAGTCCCGAATCTCCCCTCGCTTTCGGCAAAGATGGATGAAGAGAAGCCTTTGGAGAAGACGCGGAAGGATGCGTGTGAAAGGGAATGTCGGAGGTAGGTTTTAAAGACAATCTTAGAAAAATCAGGCACATTACAAGTAGAATATTACACAAAAACCCTATTCCAGAAAAAGGCCTCTCCTTCTGCAAGTGGGATCTTGCAGAAAACCTTGCCACTGGAGGGGAGGGAGGAAAAGGAACAGGGATTCAAGGTTTTTTGTTTGTTTGTTTTTAAAAAAGCATCACGTGTTAGCAAGACCAAATCCACAAATTGGGGCCAAGGAGGGAGGGGGAAAAATTGAAAGAAAAAGTGGGTTTGTTCCTGTAAGAGAAGTTCAGTACCCGAATCCCATCGGACTAGGAAGCAGTAGAGTTGGAAGAAATAGCGTGTGGAAGGGACATGGCTCACTCTAGGCCCTGCCTCTGGTGTGATGGAGACTCAAAATAGATTTTAAAGCAGCTTATTTGAGTAAGTACAAAGCTTTAGGGGAGGGGTGTCCAACCTCGACAACGTTTAAGACTTGTGGACTTCAATTCCCACAGTTCCCCAGCCACCCAAGACTTAAGGACTTCCAATTCCCAGAATTCCCCAGCTAGCTAAAACTTGTGGACTTCTGGCTGAGAATTCTGGGAGTTGAAGTCCACAGGTCTTAAAATTGCCAAGATTGGGCACCCTTGCTTTAGGGTCAGCATCCACTCAAAAGTTGCCTAACACTAGACAACCTTGAGTTTCTTTTCCGAAAACAACCACCCTCGAAGTCTTCCATACAACTTATACATCCCGGCAGACTCCCCGAATGAAGGGAGAGATAAATACCAGTGCGTTAAAAAGCCTGATGGAGCTTTAAATGCTCACACACACACACCGACACACACCTATGGACCTCTCAAGGAAGAAAGCATCTTGAAGTCCACCGTCCCATGGACCGACGCATGTGGGATTGGTACCCAAGCCCCACACTTTAGGAATTCGGTTAATGGAGAGGAGAAAGTGATGGATACGCTCTCTTCCCCGGATCTAAACCGAGCAAGATTTTCCTAAGTCATCCAAGACATGGCCCCGATTTGGCAAAGTCCGAGATGATCGTTTTGAATGGGGCAAACTGAGTTACTTTGCTGTCGTGCTTGCTTGTACCAAGCCTGGAAGATGCCTTTGATTTGGGTTTCCATGCCACCCACGATCCTCTCAAAGGCTACTGTGGTGCCACTTTTGAACCATGTTAGGGAGTGAGATAAAGGTTTCTAACAGGGACGAAGGAACAAGTGGAGTTTAGAAGATTTGGAGTCATGGGATGCCCAGACCACTGCAATGGGGCTGAACAGAGGGAAGCGGATGGAAAACATTAGTAAAAACCATTCAATAGGTTGTCTTTCTTTCTTGCTTGCTTCCAGTCTCGCTCATACAGAGCCCTTAAGCTGGGGTGTCAGTCCAAAACCTTGTTAGTGAGGAAAGAAGGAGCATTCAGGGAGCTCCTCAGCCCATCATGGATGCTGGATTATTATTATTATTATTATTGAGAAGAGTCTCAAAATACTCAGGTGAAAGTTACGGGCAAGGGATTTTAAGCCCCAACTGCCAGGGAGGAGGCAGGAGGAATGACAGAAGGAGAGACAGTGAGGCAGCGGTGTGTGTGTGTGTGTGTGTGTATGAGAGTGTGTGTCTGCGTGGTGTGCGTGCGGATGTGTGATCCAACCAATACGGGAGACACTGACCCAAAGTGGGAGGCGGCAGCAGGAGGAAGATTAAAGCCCCCAGAGAAAGACTGGACAAGCGAAGGTTCTCTTCCAAGGCTGGAAAAGCCATCAGGAGGAGTTCTGGTTCTGGAAGATCGAGGCTTTCTCCTTCAGCAAATCCAGGCAGAGGTGGCAGCTCCAGCTCCCTGCGGGAAGAAAAGCATTTTCGTTATTCAAGCCATCGATAGCAAGAACTGATGTCCTTTGACTGACGGCCGTAATTGAGCCCAAAATTTCTGCTAAGAAACCTGTCAAGCAGGTTTGGCCCCGTTTGGCCCCCTTCCTTGCCAGGGTTGTTAAATGAATCTCTGCAGGCGTTAAGTTGCGTGGTTCTTAAGTGAATCTGGCTTCCCCCCATGGACTTTTTGTTCGTCAGAAGGTCGCAAAAGGGGAGCACGTGACCCCCCGGGACACTGTGATCGTCATAAATGTGAGTCAGTTGTCAAGCGTTCAAATATAACGCATGCGACCACGGGGGGTGTTGCAACGGTCGCGTGAACAAAGTCACAATTTTCAATGCCGTTGTTTACTTTGAGTGGCGCACCAAACGAACGGTTGTAAGTCAAGGACGACCTCTGACTGTGACTCAGTCCCTTTCTTTGCTTCTTCCCATTCCTTTTAGGATTCTCAGATCAGAGGGGAAGTTTATGGGTGGTAAATCATAGAGTCCCAGGCCTGGAAGGGACCTTGGAGGTCTTCTAGTCCAACCCGCTACCCCAGACAGGAGTCCTGGGACCATCCCAGACAAACCCAGTCTCTTCTTGAAAATCTCCAGGGATGGAGCGCCCACAATTCCAAGAGGGAAGCTCTTCCAGGGATTAATTGTGCTCACTGTCAGGAAATAGGGGCCAGCGGTCCAACGTCAGCTGGTTTGGGACTCTCTGGAGAGGAGCAAATCATTACTGCCAGGTTGGCATCGATAGGTCAAATTCTCGGGCAGAGGTCGTTACCTCCCCCAACTAATGTTTAACGGGAGGTGCAAAGATTAATTCCAGGAACTTCTAAACAGGATGATGCATTGGCTCGCATCCTGTGGGCCCAGGCGATGGAGCCAGGGTGGTTCTGGGAGTCACCTCCTCGTTCGAAGACGAGTTGCAACCGGAGTGGAGACACAGAGCGAGAGAGACTTTCCTCTGCGTCTCTAATTTAACTGGAGCTGTCACGGCCCTGAGGGTGACTCGTGGTTCCCTTGTCAAGTGATGTAAAAATGAACGCACGGTTTGAAATCAACACGAGCTGAAAGGATCCTCCCAAACCCCTGAGTCAGCTCCTGCTCTGGGAACAAGCCACCATTTTGCCTCGTCATGATACAGGAAGGATTGGCATTTTTAAAAAAGATGGCAGCCTGGGATGCGTGTGTATTCGCACATACATATATGCTAATTTTGAACTTACTTCCTTCTCCTTCCTTCCCTTTTTCAATTCCTTCTTTCCTTCCTTTTTAAACTCCTTCCTTCCTTCCTTTCAATTCCTTCCTTCCTTTTTAAAATTCCTCCCTCCCTCCCTGTTCTGACCCAACCGGGTTTCCAAATAGCAAACACAGACAAAGGCAGCAGCCCCCACTTTTTAAGGTTTAATAACAATTCTGTCCTGAAGGCTGCTTTCCATTAATTAGCTCCGACAAGAAAGAGCCTTGCCTAGCTGTTTGTCAATGATGCCAAAAACTCAAGAGATAAGAACTAATTTATGAGATTCTCCAAACACAAATTAAGATGTCCACAAGTTGAGCTTCAGAGCTTCAGCTGCTTTGCCGTCTGCAAAGAACGCTTTTCCAAACCTGGCTTTTATCCTCTTGAGGGAGGGGCCATTACCTTGCAGCCTTACTCCTGAGTCGCCCGTGCTGTTGTAACTGCTCTTTCCTCCGAGCAATCCTGCGTGCACGGCTCCTTGGGAACCTCCTCATCACTGCTGCCAGCCCCGACAATCTCTGAAGGCAGCAGTCCACTCCCTGATCATCCTGGCCCCTCACCTGAGTCCTCGCTCTCCTCAGCCACCTGCACCTGCTGCCAGCTAACCACAACACTCCCTCCCCTGCTTTCATTCTATGTTAATCTATACGCTGCCATTCCTCCAATAGGATGACCCTGGGCAGCTTGAAGCCTCATGAGGTTTCATGACAGAAGGCCAAAAATCTTGTAAGTTGGAGTCTAAACCAAGATTTAGAGGTTTCAAAATGCTATTTGTTACGTAACATTTGGGTGCTGGTCATTTCATCTTGGAGCATCACAGGTACGGAGACCCTTAATGGAACAGGTTTCTAACCTGCAAGGTAACTTCCGCATTTTGATTTTAAAAAGGGAATGAGCCACAGTAGTGGCCCATATGCTGGGGTCTTCCTGATGAGCTGGACCACCAATTTCAGGGCAGCCAAGGGAAAGGAAGGAAGCAAGATCAAAAGGAAGGCAGGAGGCTGCCCAAGAATTCTGGGCTGCCCAGCCCTTCACAACTCCAAAACCTTGCCCAGGTGAAAGGTGGGGGAGCACAAGAAGGGGAACGGAATAGAACTCACCTTCTGGGGGTTCTGACATAGGTGGGGTGAGGCAGTACATGTGATAACCACGGTCACAATCGTCACAGAACAGCAGCTGGTCCTGAAGAAGATGGGGAGGGAGAAACAATGAAGAATACTGCTCAACTCCCCCTCCTTTTGGACTGGAGAAAACAACATCTAGAGGACTTTACTCTCCTTTCTTTTTATGAATCCCCAAAATGTGACATTTCCCATCGTGCAAAAGACTCCATATTTGAAAGGCTCTCCAGAATGGTCAGGCCAGGTGAGTTTGGAAGAACCTGTTTTGAGTCCCCACCCACCCACCCACCCACCCCACAATCAAAAAGCTCCAAGTAACTGATATACTTAGACCCTGGCCAAATTCACAGCACAATTCTTCACCTAGCAGCAAATTACGCAGCTGCACTCCCCCAAGATCCTAAGCTGGGTTCATTTTTAGCAGCCCAGCATGATGCAGCGTGAATCTAGCCACTCGATTTATGATTCAACGTACAACCAAAAAAAACACCAAAAATGAGTTCTCAACAATTAGAGGAGGCTGTGTGAACACCCACCCCCGTTCAGGACACACATTTTGAAACAGGGTGCAAACGATATAATCCAGGTTTTGTGATTCAAACTCAGGTCTAATCTTGGTTTCTAAGAGGATCCACCTCAAGAAGCAGGCTTCAAAGGATCCAGGATCAGAGGTGGGCAGGGGGAGAGGTCAAGCCTGAAGGAGAGGAAGCGGGGAGGGGGTTGTCCCCAAAAGGAAGAAGAAGGCAGGACTAAGGAGAGCCTTTCCAATCTGAAGCAGACCAGCCTTTCGGGGCAGGACGGGAGAGGGGAAAAGCACACTCACGTCGTTCTCCGAGGTGCCGCAGATGTTACAGCACTTGCATTCAATACACTGCCAGCGGTAGGTCTTCACGGCAGCCATCATGACTGGGGTGAACTGCAAGCAAGATGGGTGCCCTAAAGAGGCGAGAGAGGGAGACAAACAGCACTAAGACGTACCCACCTTGCCCTAGGAAAGGCGGGTGAGCTACCTGGCAGGTGGACAACTAAGGCAAAAGAGTCCTTCTCTCAGGGGTACACCCAAGGGGGGGAGAGGGCTCCCATCAGATCGCGTACCTGATCGCCCACAGTCCGAGCACGAAACCAGCTCTTCGGGTTGCCCTGTCTTCTTGTTGATCTTCGAGTCTCCCAGACAAAAGTCGCAGTAATTGTTGGGCAGGGCCAAACCATCGGGACCCTTCTTGGCTATGGGGTGGGGAGGAAGGGGTTTGTCTTTCAAAGCACAGCAGAGGCTTGTCCTGTTTAGCAGCCCAGCTAAAAAACCCCGAGACACACATACACTCCAAAATGGTAAATTCCTGCACAGAAAACTTTGGGCAGCAAAACTGAGAGATCAGAAGCATAACTTGGGCCCAGCAAGTTTGCTAACACATATACTCATTGCCAAGTTATTTCTCCCACCCCCCCACTAACCTCAGAGGGTCACCTTGGTGTGGTTGCCTCCTGCCACCACTTAGGTTTCAAAACCACTGGAGCAGAGCCCATTTCTCACCGCGGTTGGTAATTGGTAGCCTGTCAATTCTCATTGTTGGAGGGGCGCCTCAGGCACCATGATCTTCTCTGAAAATGGAAGGGCGAGGGAACTGGCCGAGGGAAAAACTCCCCCTCACTCGTGAAGGTTCCCACTGATCAGTGGAGTTGGGCAACAGAGCTGGAGCTCTTTCAGACTCCGGCCACCGCAGGTGATTCCAAACAAGAGACCCAGTGAGGAGTTGGGGAAGGAGAGAGTGGATGCGATGAATGCCAAAGTGGACAAATGCGACCTGACAGCAAGACTGTTCCATGACCTCCATTATGCAGGGACCAGCAGGGCCAAACAAAGGTTCTGCCTTCGGTTCTCAGGGATCAGGCTGAACGGGAGCAGAGAAAACTGGCCCTGGGACTCACCCCACCCCCGACTCAAAACAAGTCAAAGGGAGGGGCAGAAGCTCCCTCCCACCTACTTTTCTGCTCCTCTGATCTCTGTGAGACGGGCGTGGGGGGCTGAGAGTCCTCCTTGTCCTCCCCTTCTTCTTCCGCCAGGTGACAGTGAGCGTAGTGGTAGCTCAGGCCGGGACGATTCTTGTAGCGTTTCCCGCAGACTGAACAGGAAAGAGCCAGAAGGAAACGCTGAGAGCCACGCCGGCTGTAAAAGAGCCCCCTCCCACATCCCTCCTCAGTAAAACCCACCAGTGGGCTAGTCCTCACTCAAAAGCCACCCCGAAGCACTTTGCCTGCTTCCTCAAACAGGTAGTCCTCAATTTCTAACCGGTCACTTAATGATGGTTCAAAGCTATGAGAGGCCTCCCCAGAGCTACTTATGACCTGTTTTTGGAGTTATGGCAGCTGCACACCCCAACCTGAAGTCACGTGATTATATTTTGGGCCCTTGGCAACCAGCCCACTTTTGCAGCATCCTGCGGTCACGCAAGTGCAATGGTGAATTTTTTTTTTTTTTTTGCTGGTTTTCAGCATTTTCTTCTGGTTTCCAGCCCATTGGGGAAAATTGATTCACTTAACGACTGCTGCATTTGCTTAATGACTGTGGTTACAAAGGATCATAACTTTGAATCCAGTCACCTGATGCTTCAAATGACGGCTGCAATGACTTAGCGGGACTGTACTTCCAGGCTCAATTATGGTTGTAAGTTGAGGACTACTTGCACAGAAGTGGGAGGGGTGCCTCTAGTGGCACAGAGCTGGTCGCAGGGTGGGAGGTATTCTCTCTTCCCACAGAGCAGAACCTGATTCCTTCAGCTACACCCACGTTCTGCCTGTAACCTTGTTCTAGGGGACTCGGCGAAATCCCAAGGCAACTCATTCAGGGCCACAAGCACAATAGTTATTTGTCACCGTAATGGAATGACCAACACCGCATACCCCAACCCAGCATGGCAAACAATCCATAAAGTGCATGCAGACAAAACGGATGGTGAAATTCAATCCTCCGGTTTTCATGAAACAGAGGACTGAAATTCTACAGATGTTATCTGATGTCCAAAAAGCAAAGGTTAAGGATATTCAATGGACAGCAAAGACGTTTTTCTGCCCTTCCACATGTGCAGGATAACGTGTCTTGAAAAAAAAAAATCACGTTTACGCAAGACTCCACCTTTTACGCAGTTCCTCCCAAATCCCAGGTATGACCCCGACTTTGCCACCTCCCCTCCCAAATCCAGCCTTCCCTGTAAGTTCTTTTTGCATAAATATCCCTATTCTACACTTTATTATAATTAAGCCTACATCCCTGTTAGACTTCTCATAATTAAAAGACTTGCACCGTTTTTTAAAAAAACTTACCCAGATTCTATTTTTTGTTCTCTTCCTCGTGCCAAATTTGGGCTCATGTGGTGCTTGGAACACGAAGCCACCCCCTGTACTTCTGTGCAACCTTGTGCTTTCTAATTTACATCATTTCTGTCAGATTAAGCCCGGCCTAGTAAATTAGCTCGCAAAACCTATACGTGCATTTTAGCGTTAACTGAGATTTCCATGCCAGCAACAGGAAAAAAAAATCCACTCTTCTGTACCCAGCATGGACTCTTCAGGTAAGAAAAAAGCATGGCATAAAACATAACCACTCTTTGACTCTGATTATAAAAGGAAAGGTGGGTGTTAGTGGAAACATGGAATTCTGGGATTAAGAGATTAGGAATATGCCTGCCCCATAGTGCTGAATTACAGCTCTCAGCATCCACCATCAAGGCCATCCAAGTTAGTTAGCAACATCATTGAGTCCACAACCATCTATAGCAAGGCTCTCCAAATTTGGCAATTTTAACTCTTGCGGATTACAACTCCCAGGCAGCCATGCTGGCTGGGGAATTCTGGGAGTTGAACTCCACAAGTGTTAGTGGGCTTGCCAAGTTTGGAGACCATCTACAGAAAAGAGGCCCGGGCTACATTTTAGCTGCTCTTTTCTTCCCTTGACAGAAATGTACCTTCCCCATTGCTTACTGCCTTTCTCTGAAAAATATTGGAAGGAAGAAGACCTGATAGAACTAGCTTTAGAATGTGCCTGGAACATATTCAGGGGCCAGGGAAGCAGAACAAGTAATCCATCACCTTCTCCGTGGCTCAAATTAATCCACCAAACAATACGTCCTAAATCTGGAAACAGCTCAGGCCAGAAACAAGAAAACAGACCATATTTAGAAGGAAGCAGCAGAGCTGCTGGTGGAAGGGAGGTGGTGGATAAAAAGGAACAAATCCTTTGAGCTATGTAGGTCTCACAACTTGGGGGTGTTTCGGTATGGATGATGTGTGTGCACACACATGAATGTGTGCGTGTGGGTATGTGTGTTTGTCCAGCAACTGGAAATCTAATTTGCCAAGGAGAAAAAAAAATCACAGCTCTCTTACGGATTGTGTAAATCCAGCTGATTATGTAAGGAACCTGAGCTAGCGGGCCCTGCTCTATGCAGCTACTAGTCAGCAACCAATTCAGGCTTAGAACTGTCTTTGTCGGGGAGAAAATCAGCAGGACTAGTTATACGGGTAGCCCTCGACCTACAACAGTTCATTTAGGGACTGTTCGAAGTTACAACGGCACTGGAGAAGGTGACTTACGGCCGTTTTTCACACTTACAACCCTTGCAGAATCCCCACAGTCACCTGATCAAAATTTGGACGCTTGGTAACTGGTTCGTATTTGTGGCGGTTGCAGTGTCCTGGGGTCACGTGATCCCCTTTGGCGACCTTCTGACAAGCAAAGTCAATGGGGGAGCCAGATTCACTGGTTATTAACTTAACTGTTAACAGCTGTGGCGAGAAAAGACGTAAAATGGGGGAAAACTCACTCGGCAATATAAATTTTGGGCTCAGTTGTAGTCGTAGGTTGAGGACTACCTGTATTCCCAACAGCCTGCCAGAATTGAGCCCCTCCGTTTTTGCTGAGAGCCCCGAGAGATCCAACAGATTATCTAGGATCACCTGGGCTGCTGAGAGAGAAAAGTACTGTCCAGCAAATAGCTCAGAGGTCACCTAATGAAGGGAATGAAGACCGAAGACTCAGGCTTTGGGCTATTATTAACAGAATTTACAAAACCTGAAGACCTTTTGCCCTGTTCCTGTGCTAACAAATCTTCTCAGCTGGAGAAGGCAAAGTCCCAACTCAGGTGCTCCCCCACTCCACCCCCCATTCCATGGGGCATGGGCCCAGCAGGCTGGAAGAAACAACAATCTTCTCTCTCAATGCCAATTAAGATAATTGGTATATTAAACAGGATTTACAGATTCTAGCAACAATGAAAGTAAATGCAAGCTCTTGCCACTTCCAACATCTGGCAGAGCAGATCTGGAAATGCAGCTGGTCAGAATGACGTTGGGGGTTTGCCACGTCCAGTTTATGCTCCACCACAGTGTTTCTCAAGACCTGTGAACTTCAACTCCCAGAATTCCCCAGAAACCATTTTTTTTCCCCTTTGGCCTCAACTTTGCAAAGCTTGACTCTCTCTCAAATCCGTCCTCCTCTAGACGGAAATGTCGAATTCTCAATTCAACATTCACCACCACACTTCAAAAGAATTTGTATCTTTCTCAAACGCACAATTCGTGCACAAATGCATGTTTCCTAAACCCATCCACCCCCCCCCCCCCAATATGTCACATACATAAAACCAAAGTAGGTATCATCGGAAGGGAGGGATTTTTTGGCACTCTGCAGGAGAAGACCCAAGATTGTTTGTTTGTTTTTTAAAGGGGAAAAAAAAGTGGGGGGTTGGAAAAGAGTTTTTTAAAAACGAACATTTCAGAAGAACAAGGTCAGGAGGAAATTAAACAGTAAGACAGAAAGAATGGAATACCTCGGTCAGGAGGTTTCGAGGTATGCTTTTGTTTGTAACTATCTGAAACACAGAAAGAGAATGAGAGAAAGGTGAAGGCAGTCTGTAAGGTCACGCACATAACATGCACACAAGTCAGCTATACAGAGCGATTAAAAAGGAGGAGAGAAAAATAAAAAGTCACCGGTGTTATTTCAAATTAAGAGGGGCAGTATAAAATTCTTACAGGAGAGTAAAGGAGGAGAGAAAGAAAAGAAATCTCAGGAACTCATGATTTGCCCTTTGGAAAGGTCTTGCCAATCGCCTTTCACTCCCAATTTTTCCATGAATCACCAAGGTTTCACGGGCATTTTTTTTTCTTTTTCTTTTTGCAAATCGGTGTGCAGGGAACAGGCCAAAGATCAAACAGTTGTGAAATGTGGAGCCAAAGGAGATACTGTCTATCATAACTCTGGGGTCTGCATGTGAGGTGCAACAAGATACAACTAAAGACTAGCAACAAAAAAGAAGCCCAGAGTAAGACAGCTTCTCTTCCCTTTGCTGTGTGTGTGTGTGCGTGCATGAAATCCAATCCCGGGATCTGCCAGAAGTAATAGGTTAGAACTTTTCCCAGAATCCCACTGGTGGGATGCACAGCCAAGACCCCACCCACCCACTCAGAATGCCAAGTGAATCTGTTTCCCAGATGCTCTCTTAAGGAAGCCAATTTTAGGCAGCAGAGAAGTGGCCAATGCTGCAGCATGTCTCTGTGTCTCACTTAACTCTTCATCGGGCAAAACTGAAAAAAACTCTTCATCAGGCAAAATTGCCATTTTTTTTTGAAGTTGGATAAATAACTGTTACTCCCCTTCGCGTTGTGTGATAAATGATGTATTTTCAGCTCACCCCAAACAGCTCTCAGCCCAGAGCAAGATTAACGGGGGAGGGCAAGTAAAAGGAGGTACGAGTAGCCAGCCTGTGGCACATCTTCCCAAGAGACCCCAATCAGAGCAATCGCACGCAATCCCATCCTAACACCAGGAGCTATTCCTGGCTTATACACCAGTAAAATCGAGAAGCTGTTTACTATAAACTGGCTTGTACTCACTGTCACATGCATAAGGTTTGTCCCTGTCTTCCAAAATGGCAGCATCCAGTTTTTTCCGAGCGCTCCCAACTCCTTTACCCTATAAGGAAATTTAAAAAAAATGGAAGGCGGGTGAAGAGTATGCTTTCTTTCTGCGTTTGGAGGAAAAAGTAAAATCCAAGATGGAACCATATTCCACTGAATTGTACTGAATCTGATTTGTGGTCCGTTCCTTTACTTTACTTTACTTAGGGCAGAGTTGCCAGTCCCAATTAGCATTAAGCGAGGACTACTTGCATGTTGGTGGTTAGTTCTGCTAATCACACTAAGAAAATACGTAGACCAAGGCTGCCACCCAGTGAAAGATGTTTGTAACAATCTTAAAATGAGTATTTATTTATTTCTCTAAACCACTTTAAGATTTTTTCAGATGGCAGGTAACAATAATTTGGATTAACCAAGACTCTCAGAATTTGATTTTTATATGCTCAGAGTAACGCCTGCACCAAGCTAATGGCTTCTACTCAAAAAACCTGCCTTCTCAGCATCTTTGGGACACCAGGTATCTCCTAAAACCCTAGTAAGATCACATCTGGAATACTGCAACCAATTTTGGTCACCATACTACAAAAAAGATGTCGAGACTTTGGAAAAAGTTCAGAGAAGAGTAACTAAGATGATCAAAGGCAGATTAAAATATATGAAGAATGGCTGCAGGATTTGGGTTTGGTCACTCTGTAGAAAAGAAGGACTAGGGGGGACATGATAGTAGTATTTCAGTATTTGAGGGGTTGCCACAAAGAAGAGGGGGTCAACTTATTTGCCAAAGCACCAGAGGACAGGATAAGAAAGAATTTTTGGAAACTGATCAAGGAGAGAACAAACTCAGAATTAAAGAGAAACTTCCTGACAGTCAGGACAATTAAGCAGTGGAACAGCTTGCCACCAGAAGTTGTGGGTGCTTCACCACTGAAGGTTTTTAAGAAGAGACTGGACAGTCACTTGTCTGAGATGGTATAGGTTCTCCAAGGGGCTGGAGGTCCCGTCCAACTATTCTATTCTATTCTATTCTATTCTATTCTATTCTATTCTATTCTATTCTATTCTATTCTATTCTATTCTATTCTATTATTCTATTCTATTCTATTCTATTCTATTCTATTCTTTGCCCAAAATGTTCAGAGGCCCTCCCTACTCTGCATTGCAGAAGCCTATGTAAAATTCAGTGAGCCCACAGAAGTCGAAATGTTACCCCCTACCTTGGCCTTTCCTTTGCCTCGTCGTTTTGGGGTGTCTTCCTCGTAGTCTTCATCATCCAGATCATCCAAGAAGTCATCGGGTTCCAGGATTCGCTGAAAGAAAAAGAAAAGGATGCACAAAGCTGTGAGAAACGGACGTTTGGCTCATCCAAAGGAACATTCCCGTTAAATCACAGCTCTGCGGGTGTTGGGTTCTGTGACAGGCTGGCTGATAAGAAACCCCTCTCTCCTCTCGTTAATGCATTGATAGCTTCGTTGTAAGAACCAGGCAAGCGCAGTTTGCAAGCAGCTCTGCAGGACAAAGGCTAAGAGCAACAATATCCTTGCTCAATCAGCGACCATTTTCAATGCAGGTTCTGAATCCAAAAGCAGATACAGGTAGTCCTAGACTTACAACAGTTTGTTTAGTCACCGTTCAAAGTTACAACGGCACTGAAAAAAGCGACTCGTGGCCATTTTTCAGTTACAACCTTTCCAGCATCCCCATGGTCACGTGATTTGTGTTTAGAGGCTTGACAACTGGTTCATATTTATGACGGTTGCAGTGTCCTGGGGTCACATGATTCCCCCCCCCCCTTTTAATAAAGTTTTATTTGAGTTTTCACACACAAAATACAAGTAAAACACCTTTTTTGAAAATAGCATGGTCCCGGGTTGAACTTCTTTATACAGACACAAAACTCAATTTCATGCTCCTTTTTGTATTCTATTCCATATCTTATACTATTTTACATTTTCTATATAGTTTTTCCCCTCTTTTAATTTTCTCAATTTTATTTTGATTATCTCATCTCAATTCAAATTATTATATTTATACTTTTGTCTGTTCTGTTTCAATTTCATATTATCTTTTCTCATTAAACAAATTTTCTCCTGTAGTTACTAATTGGAGTATGACACCTTTATATCTTCTAATTACATCCATTCAACTCTTATTTAAACTTCAATATATACCTTAAGTTAATGACCTTCAATATAATACATGATACATAACTTCCAATTGAATTCTGCTTGGCACATTCTTATAATACACACTATATTCTTTAAAAAAAAAGATTGTAAATATATGTAATTATAAACCCTCATTCCATTCCAGTTCAGTTCTATCATTAATAATCATTAAAACCATAACATCTTTAACACTTCTTTTCAATTAAATATCATACTTCCTTAAAAACACATATAATCTCCATAATTAATTTTTCCCTTATTTCTCTTCACATATGTTTTATAAATCATTAAATATACCTTTTGTTACATTTATTTATTGACAAGCATTCCACTGAATTACGATAGCTATTTTATCAGACATTTTAATCATACATTGTTTCATATTTTCTAAAATTATTTCTGCTTCTAATATAACCATACTATCTTATGTACCTTTGCAGAATCCCTTTTTCCATTAAGTTTTCACCCATTATCTCTAAATAGGCCCTGTTTCTCTATATTTTGCTTCTGTCCTTTATAACTTCTTTTCCTTTCTTTCTTCCCTCTCATCTTCTCCCTCCCCTTTTTACCCTTGTCTCTCTAGTTCTAATTCTCTCTTCTGCATTTCCCTCTTCTGTTGCTTTCTGATTTTATACTTATTTTTCACTCTATTTTTTTTTTGGAGTTGTTTTTCCCAGTCTTAAACTTTCCATTCTCTTTCTCCCCTTTCCTTTTTCCCCCCTATCTAAGATTACTTGTTCATTAAAGATGGCTTCTTCTTTGTCGCAATCTTCTTGTTCTGCAGGCATTTCTTGTTGTTTCTCATAATTCCAAATCTCCATTTCTAAAAACTGAAATACGAAGCCAAAAGAACCTCTCCCTTCTTGTGCATCTTCTTTGTACTTTTTAAGTTCCATTTTCAGTTCTTCTAAAAGTGGAGCCATTTTAAAAAGTTTTAAACAACCACCCGATTGATTTTAGTCATTCAAAACAATAACCAAGAATCCAGAAATCATCAAGTAATCCAGATAGTCCCGAGTTATATCTTATTTCTTTTTCAACTTTCTCTTCCTGGGGTTTTTGTTGCAATATTTCAGTTAGAATGTATCTTTTGGAAGTCTTATTGAGATTTTGCTGTAAGTTCTTTTTTAATTCCAGGCAGTCTCCTCCCTTCCAGATCCTGCCCTTTTATTCTTCCTCTCTCCTTTCCTGTTTTCAAAAGCTTTTAATTATCCAGAAATCTTTATTATCCCTTTGACTTTTTATTTTCAGCATTAAATGCCTATTGATGTCAAAGTGGATTTTTTTCCCAATTTCTTGCTTAAGTCTCTTAGCTGTCAGTATAGGAAAAGGAGAAAACCAAATCTTTTCCCTTCATGATCCCCTTTTGCGACTTTCTGACAAGCGCAGTCAATAGGGACGCCACATTCACTTAACAGCCAAGTTACTATCTTATCAATTGAAGCGATTCATTTAAGAACCGAAGCAAGAAAGCTCGTAAAATGGGGCAAAACTCACTTCACAAACATCTCACTTAACGACAAAAACGTTGGGCTCAATTGTGATCGTAAGTCGAGGACTACCCGTACAGCCTGAATGATAGGACGTAAATAGGATCCAGGATATTGCCATTGCACCACTAGGTTTTTTTTTTTAATCATCTAATAAATGTTTTGTGCTCTCTCTCAAATATATGAATGGAACCAGCGTATTTGTACGCTGTGGTTTTCCTTATTCACCTAGTGGCTCAAATACAGGTAGACCTCAAGTTGTAATAGCACTGAGAAAAGTGACTTGTGATGTGTTTTTCACACTTACCCCCGTCGCAGCATCCCCATGGTCACGAGATCAACGTTCAGATGCTTGGCAACTGACAACGTATTTATGCAACCACCTGACAAGTAAAGCTAACGGGGAAGCCAGATTCACTTTACAATCATGAGAACAACTGAACGACTGCAGTGATTCATTTAACAATCGTGGAAAAAGGGTCGTAAAATGGGGCAAAATTCACTTAACGACAGAAACTTTGGGCCCAATTGCGGTCGTACGTCAAGGTCGTAAGTAGGAGAATCCTCGTCCAAGGACTCTATCTCTATATATCTTTTTGCACTGAATTTTAATGATCGGCAGGAGCCAAGGGGAAAGGAATCTAAAAACCAGCTCTGGTTTCTCTATAGGATCCCAGGCAACAGCTCCCAGGAAGGAAGGGAGGGGTGACCCATTTCTAGTCCCTCTCCCCATAGGAGATCCATGTCACTATTCTCAAGGGGAGGAGGCCAGAGAGTGGCTGCTATACAGCCCTCAGCCTGGGAGACAAGAGTCGCCTGACAGGGAGATAGGTAGCATATAAAGTTAATAAATAAAATACAAATGATTTATTCTTGGCAGCTTTGTATTTTACACTTCTTAATTTTACTTTTAATTTTCCTTGCTGGCCAGAGTAAGAGTTAGGTGGTGATAAGAAAGCGGGAAGGGGAAGGGGAGGAAGGAAGGAAAAGAAAGGGAAGAGAGAGAAAGAGAGAAAGAGGGGGAAAGGAAGGAAGAAAGGAAGGAAAAGAAAGAAAGAGAAGAACAATATGTTCTATACACGAGCATCTTTCAAAGGAAAGATGTCTTATTTTACCACAGGCTGCCATTCTCTACACTACCTTCCGGGTGCGGCTATTGGCAACGGGGAACTCGCTGAGGCTGTCTTCGTCGGTACGAGGGTCAGGCAAGCTGCGTTTCTCAAGGGGGTCTGTCCTTAAGAGGGCCTCCAAACTGCTGCCATCTTGAGAGATTAAGCCTTCTTTCTTTAGGGCCTGCTCAGTGTCTGCCAAAAACAGAGATTTCATTGTCTTAATGCCATTAAGACAAAGAATCCAAACTACCAATAAAGGAGAATATTGGTAACTTAGGGTTGAAATGAAGGGTCCTTGGTGTTCTCTGAGCTTGGCTGTTTTCTTGCAGCTCATGATGTTACCTAGTTTGGGTAATGAAAACAACTGGAAGAAAACAACCAAGCTCAGAGAGCACCAAGGACCCCATAGTCCTCTCCTCCTCTCCCTCCCTCCCAGCATTGATGATATTCTCTAGTTGGGTCATGAAATGTCTGCAAGAAAACCACCAAGCTCAGAGAGCACCAAGGACCTCTCAATCTAAACTTCCATTACCTTGGCCAAATGACCTAAGAAAAGTTTGACAGGCACCACAGGCCAATGCAGAAATCTATTAGGTCCTAACACAAGAATGACATGCTCTCTTCTGTCACCTGTAATGTTGGATCTGCACAGAATTCTTACTTGCAACCTGACATTTTTTAAACGTCTGGCTGTCCTGTTGGTCCATTCGTATACAAGTAACAGGATATAAAGGTACTTTTCTGTGGCTGATTTAGAACTACAGAGTTCTCAGGTAGTGTAAGGTAGCCCATCTACCTGTCCAGGTTACCCCGGAATTTGCCTGGACAATTACGAATTCTGTAATGTACGCCTGAACGATCACTTCAGCCAGGTGAAAACTCTTGTTATGATTCCATCTGTAATGATAGAAATTTAAAAACTTTATACAATACAGACGAGGCAAACCTGGTTTAATGGTAGGGAAAGAAAGACTTGGATCCTCTGGAGGATGGGAACGGCGTTTTTTCCGCCAGCGTCGAGCCGGATAAGAATAGAGCTGGCCAGACGCCAAACCTTCCAACAATAGAAAAAGAGGAAATCAAAGTCTGCTTAGTTAGTCAATTTATATATAAAATTGGGGAGAAAGCATATATATATATATATATATGTGTGTGTGTGTGTGTGTGTGTGTAAAAAACTTATAAAGTTAGGCAAACTTTATGGCAAACTCTTCCTGTTTGGAGTACTGAACACTTCTGGCAGCTCTCTTTGCAGCAAACATTAAGCTGCCCAGAGTTGCCTGATAGCTAGATGGGCAGAATATAAATTTAATAAATTACATTAAAAATATAGCATTTTTAATCTACACCAGCACTAATTCATGCTGAATGAGGCAGGGAAGCTGCTGCCTGAACTTGACATCACGGAATTGATATCCCAGGTAGAGCCCAGGTTTTTGTATGCCATCCTGATGCCCCACCTGGTCCCCTGTGCCGCTTCTCCATCCAAATATAGCAGTTACTCTGCGCCACCCCAGTCTGCGAATCCAGGAATGGTAATCGGACACTCCTTTCGGCACACAGCCGGGCGTTGTAATTGTGGCATTGCTCCATTGCATCCTTGTAATATTGTTCACCAAGGCTAGGACAAAAGATTGGGAAGGACACTGTTAATGAAATGTCTTTCTGCAGTACGAGAATGTGCATTTGGGGGGGGGGGTGTTTTAATATAAAGGGACATGTTGGAAGTAAAATTCAGCAAAAAAAAAAAATTTTGATTTCATTTCGACATAATTACAATTCAGTTGAATATGGCTGGCCACAGCCCTTCTGTAATTTTCTTCCACATTGAAAAGTACAAACCAGCCCCAGCTTTTGGGAGAATCTGCATTCATCTTTAGGGACTCTGATTGTGTATCCCTGCCTGAATTACATCTTTGGGAGGCCCCGAATGAGTTTGTACGTAACATAAAGCTATTTTTTTAAAAGCATGATTTATTGTTGAAGCTATAAAATCTTGATTCACTCATCATACTTGACTGTAAGTGTATCACATTATTGTTAGTCTGATGATGAATCTGTCTCCATTTAATCCAGGAAACTATAGATGGATGATCTCACTTCCTAAGCATTACAAGAAATCACCCCTAGCAGGATAGATCTTTTGACAGATTGCAAATATTGTATTTCATTCACACAGCTGGTCCTTTGCAGATATTGTCATAATTAAATAGGGAGAGGCTGGTTTGAAATTCAAATTATAAGCATGGATTTAAGCTTTTTTTTTTCAGAACAAAAAAAACACCTGTGGAGCTGGTATTGTATACTACAGCTGTCTTTCAATCTAGTAAATTCACTGAAGAAAGAAAATGGCCAATTCTATTCAATAAATCCATTAGCAAAGAGGCTTATGATGGAAACTTCTAAGAGAAAAGAATGCAGAAATATCTAAGAGTACACAGCTTGCATTTTTCCCTTGTTCTTTAAAAATCTGTGGTGCAGCAGCAATGAGGTCTCTCTAATTGAACAGTCCATAATTATAGTAATTTCAATGTTTAAACCTTGCCACACACTAAAAAAGCTGAAGGAGGCTACAGAAAACAATGCAACTTGCTTGAAAGAAAGTAACGTTACAACTTCGCTGTCTGGGGAGGAAACCAAAGAGAGGGAGAGAAAATTAAGTAGTTAAATCAGAATCCTACTAGGTTTACAGTGTTTTATATTCAATCTTGGTCATCAGCTATCAACTGAAACAGCTTAAAGAAAAAAAAACCACACAAAAAATGACCTTCCCTCAGTTAGAACCCAAATTTCCTCAATAAATAGCATGGTTCTGTTCAGAAATTTGGGATAACATACAAAGCTCCTGGTTTAACCATCTCTATCTACTGCAATTCTTCACAACATTCAGAAATACCTGAGGACTGTTTTTACAATTCTGCCCAAACCTTCACTAAGTCTAGGATTCTGCCAATTTTGGTTTCTCTCCTTTCTAAGGCCAAAATGCACCTAATGCATCCTTTCAAAAGAATCAACACATCTTTCTATGGTAAGTTTTTATTTTTCTCAAATATTTCCAGTCTACCTTTCTGTTTCATGGGTTAAGAGTTTTTCTATATCCTGCCTTTCTCATTCCAAACAAACTCCTATAAAAAGCAGTGGATGGGATGTTATGATAGTTTGCCTCACACAGAAAGTATACAAGCAACCCCAATCATCCAATTTGGTCTTTGAAGATGGAATATCAATGCATTATATGTAATTCTCTTTTCTTTCCCTAATCAAGTCAGGAACATTTGAGGGATGTGGGAGATTGAGAAAGCTGTACACAACACAACCTGCAACTTCATAACACTTTTTCATTGGAAAGAAGTTCTCCCAAATCAACTGTAAACTGATATTTCAAATGGAAAGAATGAGCTTGTAAATTTGTACCATTTTATTTTTAAGACAGCTACTTTCATCTCTCTTTCCACCATTATTTTGAGTGGCTGTACAAGTTGCAACTACAGGTAGCCCTCGACTTACAACAATTCATTTAGTGACCATTGTTAAGTTACAACAGCCCTGAAAAAAGTAACTTATGAACATTTTTCACACTTAACAACCGTTGCAGCATCCCCATGGTCACGTGGTCAAAATTCAGATGCTTGGCAAACTGATTCATATTTATGACAGTTGCAGTGTCCCAGAGTCATTTGATCCCCTTTTGCAACCTTCTAACAAGCAAAGACAATGGGGAAGCCGGATTCACTTAACAACTGTTACTAATTACCAACTGCAGTGATTCACTTAACGACTGTGTCAAGAAAGGTCATAAAAGGGGGCAAAATTCAATTAAAATCTGTCTCACTTAGCAATGGGCTCCATTTGTGGTCGTAAGTCAAGGACTACCTATACTAAAAACCCCAATAATTATTTTAAAATTTCCTTTTCACCCATACAAAGAGACTCTCCCTTTTCCAAAGGCTGTGCTTTGTCTTCCTCTAAAACTATAGATGCTTTAAAGAACAGGGGGGGAAACCCAGGAAAACTTTTTATTTTCTGATTTTGTGGGGTGCCTAGAAAAGTTTCCATTAAGGATTTTGACCATTTGGGGGAGGGGGGGGGAGTTTATTTTCTCCAAAAAGCGGCCCCAAATTTGATTATTTCCACCCATTATTCTGGTGAAGTTTGCCAGGAAGACAGATAGGTAGCAAGGGCAGGTTTAGGATGATGGGAGTTATGGTCCAGCATAACAGGTTGGGGAACATGCTCCCCAAATCCTAATATCTCAATTTCCCCCTTTTTCTCTCTCTTTTCCTCCCACGCACCCCCCAGTTTTCCTCTCAGAAACCTACTCCTTAAACGCATTATATAAGTATTTAATAAAGGGGATTTTTTTTCTCGCCTCCACAAGTTCCTCTCACCATCTACTGTATGTCATCCAAGCCTTTTTTTTGGGGGGGGGGGGGGGGAATTTACCTGACCCTCCTCGGAGCTTCATAATGGGGTTTTTTTTTAAAGGTTCCCCCCTCCTTTTGAAAAACTCCTCCCCATCTTAAAAGGCATCTTGTGGTGGCCGGACGGTCTTTTTTACCTCACGTACTTCACTTTTGAAACTTTAAGGTGGGGGACACTTGCTTTCTTGACCCCCCACAAACATACACACATATACACACAGACTCCGTCCGCTTTTTTAAACCCACTTTTTAAAGATATCACTTCAGTCCTAAGCAATGAGCAGAGGAGAAAAAAAGAGATTCAATAGCTAACCCCTCTCCTTCCATTATCCCGTCAGGAACACCCCCGCGGGCGGAATGGACTCTTCCCCAAACCAACCGTCCTGCGCGCACTTCGTCTAAGGTTCGGGTTGTACCATTGCAATCAAAAGGGAGGAAATGGGGGGAGGAAGAGGGACAGTTCCACTCACAGCTTCACCACATTCTGTACCACCGCCGCCATCTTCCCTTCTGCCGCCTGTGGCCGCAAAGCACGCGAGGGCGCATGCGCCGAGTGCCCGTTCGAGCTGACTCCGGCGACCGCTCTCCATGAAACCTCCCGATCAGGTTCGAAGACGGCGCATGCGTACTGGCCCCAACCCGTCCTCACGCTCCAGGAAAGAGAGGCAAAAAAGAGCACCGCTCTTCCCGCGGTGGGAGATGGCAGGCGCAAAGGACGCGCAGGCGCAAAGGAGGCCGTCTATAAAAATTCCATTCACCTATGTTGCGCATGCGGCATGCCCGCAATCGAGGGCGCATGCGTGAAAAGTTTTGTGAAGTAGAGAATTAAATTTTTGATTTAATATTTTGTAGTATTTAGAGAAACAATAAAAAATAGCCCTCTACTGCCCTTACATATATCTGCCTAGAAAAAAAATAACTAGAAATTTCAAATGGTTTTCTTTTGCAAATACATATTTATAAATAGGTGTAGCTCTAAACAAACATATTTATTACTTACATTTAATTGTGAGCTTACAACTACAACTGGGACCAGAATTTCTGTTGCTAAACGAGATTGTTGAGTGAATTGCACCCAATTTTATGATTTTTTTTGCCATGGTTGCTAAGTGAATCACTGCAGTCGTTAAGCGAATCATGAAGTTGTTAAGTGAATCCAGTTTCCCTCCCCCCCCACAATTGATTTTACCTTTCAGAAGTGGCTAGGAAGATCACAAGTGACCCTGGGACACTATAACCGTAATAAACGCAAGCGCCTGAATTTTAAACCACGTGTCTGTAGGGATGCTGTGATGGTCATAAGTATGAGGACTTGTTGCAAGTCACTTATTTAATCCCGTTGTAACTTTGAACGGTCGCTAAATGAACGATTGCAGGTCAAGGACTACCTGTATGCAAATATACATGTATACATACTTATGTTGCAGAATTAGGATCAAACATACCACTGGTTAAAGTTATAGTAGTCTTAAAAGAGAAAATACAGATAGCCACGGTAGCCACCATTTGCACTAAGCAAGCCGCAGGCTTCTACCGCCAACAAGGCCAATGCTAGTTACGTATGGCTGGCAGTGATGGGAGTTGTAGTCCAACTCTATAAGAGAAGAATTGGGGCGATACGATAGCAGTATTCCAGGACAGGGATGCTGCAGTGGTCGTAAGTGTGAAAACTGGTCCTATAAGGCACTTTTTTCAGTGCTATTGCAACTTCGGTGACTAAACGAACTGTTGTAAGAGACAGACAAGATGGTGGCACAATGCCATATTCAATTAATTCCTCTGTATTTCCTCCTTTTTTTCCAAATCGGTCTCACCGGCAGATTTTTTAGCCCAGGACAATTGCACTTCCATGCATCTTGAACTGTTTGTTCCCGTTGCTGTTTGGCAGGAGGCAGGGAGGCGATTAAATTGCATTTTTACTGCTTTAAGTGGCACTTTCCGCCTCTAAAGCTGGAAAGAACGTTTTGGAGCCGGAAGGTGGCAGGCAATTGTCAAAATAAATCCAGTGACCTGCTATAATTACGGTAAGCAGAGCTGTGTGAATTTATGTCAGCAGTTCTCAAAGGGCAGTTTGAGGCTGCCCGGGGGTCTCCGAGACCCTTTAACAGTTTTAACAGATGAACAAAATTGGAAGGGACCTTGTAGGTCATCTAGTCCAACCCCCTACCCAAAGCAGGAGACCCTAAATCATTTCACTGAACTTTCAGCCAAAAAAACAAAAATATATTTTAACATTGCTCATTTTTTGATTTCCAACCCAGTGCCTATTACAGGTAGTCTCAACTTACAACAATGGAGCCCAAAATTACCCAAAATGTATATGTGATATGTAGTATTTAGGTGATAATTAAAAATGATTATATTATGGTAATTTTTAATATGAGTTAAAGGGGTGTCAATTGAAGGTTGTGTAAGATTAAAAAGGTAGTGCACTCAAGACGTGTAATTATGGGGGAAATCTTTGGAATTATTAACATTAAGATGGAATTTATTGAATAATGAAATAAGAATATGTGATGAAATGGCAAATATGACAGATAAAAGTATAAGAATATAGTGAATATAGAATAAGAAATAAAGAATTTTAAGATATTATATAAAGATGAGTATAATTAAAGAAAAATAGAATAAGTTATATGAATTAAAATTGGATAAAATAAAAGCAAAAAATATAAGAATATTTTTGAAAAGTTATAGAAAATGGAAAATGATAATATGATAAGAAACTGAATATGTGAAATAACTATGTAATTATGGTCACGGTTTTATGGAAATGTAAAAACCTGCAATCACACTGTTCACTAAAAGAGATGTAAAAGATGAAAAATAAAAAACTTTTTGCAAGAAAAAAATGGAGCCCAAAATTATTCTCGCCAAGTCAGACATAAGTGCCCCATTTTACAACCATTTTTTTTGCCACCGTTGTTAAAGGAATCGCTGCAGTTCAGTAACCCGGTTGTTAAGTGAATCGGGCTTCTCCATCGACTTTATCAGATGGTCACAAAAGGGGATCATGTGAGCCTGGGAAAATTCTGGCCTCGGTGGTGGTTTTATTGGTCAGATGACTGTTTCTTTCTCCCCAAAACTCTATAAACAAATCGTGTATCGCTAAAGGGTTTGTGTAGATTTGCATCATTTTTTAACATTTAGAAGGTTTTTTACCCCTTTAAATATGCAGTTAAAACGTTCCTGTGTTTTAAGTGCAGGGAAAGGAAACAGGCTGCATAATTTAATTCTGGAAATTGCCTTTTGACCATACATTGGATTAAAATCAACATTCCTTTGGTATCCTTTAGGAATTCTGTGCATATCGTATGTTTTCGTGGACCAGCTGCTTCAAGACACTTTCTTGGCATACGTAGAAGAGGAGGAGGGGAAAGGAAATAAATTCCTTTTTTTTTCTACGTTGATAATTCATTCTGTTTGCTTGTAAGGGACTTTTTTAAGAGCCATTGTCTTTGGGAAAATAAATATTAGGGGCTGGTTTGAAAGGATGTTATTTTCTTCCCTAGAAAATCCCTGGGGGGAAAAAATGTTGTTTCTAAGGTGTTTCTAAAGTTTGTATGAAATCATCTATAGGTAGTCCTCGGCTTAGTGACAGTTCAAAGTTACAATGGTGCAGGAAAAAGTGATCTATGACCGTTTTTCATGCTTACAACCATTGCCACATTCCCCCATGGGCACATGATCGAAATTTGGACACTTATCTTAATAAACAGCAAGGATTAGAGTGGTCAAAATGTGTTTTAACATTTTTCTATACATAAATTTATTTCATTTATTTATTTTAAATTTATTTAATTATTTAGATATATTTTTCTGCCTCCAGAAACTGTGAATGCTCCAACACTGGAAACTTTTAAGAAGAGATTAGATAATCATTTGTCTGAAGTGGTGCAGGGTTTCCTGCGTAAGCAGGGAGTTGGACTAGATGACCTCCAAGGTCCCTTCCAACTCTTATTCTATTCTATTCTATTCCATTCCTTCCATATTCTATTCTATTCTATTCTATTCTATTCTATTCTATTCTATTCTATTCTTATTCTATTTAAACCAAAGAAGCTACTTGAATAGCAATAGATGCTGTTGGGCCCTTCAGCCCAAAATCACTTTGTTCTACCCCAAAAAATCATCACTGCAAAACAAAAACACCCAACATTGGCACAGTTCCTTTTAACACATTTTAATTTATGCTTTTATTAACTTTTTACAATGTCTGTTAGTGCTTAATGGAGTAGAATGGCAGGATATATAAATCAAATTAAAAATGGTGGCAAACTGTTTTATAAATCAATAGCTATCATTTTTTTTATAGCTATTAGTCAACATTCCTAAAGTTGAACCTAAACTTAGATATGTACACATTAAGCTAAGCCAGAATTTAACTATTGTTTATTGAAAAGAAAACCATGCCATAAACCAAGATTTTCAACCTACAACGATTGGGGTTCACACAGACTATGCTAAATTCAAACACTTGCGCCTTAACCAGAGGTTGGGCTAGATCCGTGTTGCTTAAACCTGGACATTTTCAGATGTGTGGACTTCATCTCCCAGAATTCTGCTGGCTGGGGAACTCTGAGAGATGAAGTCCAGCTGGAGAATTCTGGTAATTGAAGTCCATGCAGCTTGAAAGTTGCCAACTTCGAGACAAACTGGACTAGATGGCTTCCAAGGCCCCTTCCACCCTTTAAATATGATATGATGGCTTAGTGTGTTGTGTAAATACGTGAAATGAAGGGTTGTGCATGTGTTGCAGAAAAGAAAAAAGGACTCTCTCTAAAGAAATGAGGGATAACAGTAATTGCAGAATTACCTCCCTTTTTATATGCCCAGTTTGCACACCATATACTCGGCAACCTGCAAAATTGTAAACTGATGCAAATATTATAAAAGAGGAATTTACAGTTCAGCAAACCAACTCAGCAATGCCTTTAAGCAACTTCTCTTTCTTGGAAAAATTGGGAGGCAGACAGTTTCTTTGCTGGGGCCATTTCGGCGTCTTAACACGCCTGTTGTTTTTTTCCGTCAACCAAACGCTGCCCTGACAATTTTCCTAGGATTTGCAAATATATATATATATGTATTTTGAAAGGCAGAGACATGGCGACACCCAGCTTGGCTTGTGGTTGGGAAGCAAATTGGCCAGGTCTGCATGTTAGGTGTGAAGATTAAGGTGCAAATTAAAATGAGTGAAATTATTCAAAACAGAACTGGCAGAAGGCATGCTTATAATTTGAAAAGCTTGCCTGTGGGTGCTCCCACAAAATGTCTGCCAAGGTGGGCGTGACCAGGTGCAGTAAAGTGCTCATCGATCAACAGGTGAGGGAGCTCCCCACCCCCAGGAGGCCTTTTACCATCCTGGTGGGGCCGGAAGCTAGTGCTCAGCTGGGCAGGTCAAATAATCTAATTATTTAGAAGGGTTTTTTGCAGATATATGGAAAGGAGACTCAAAGCATCAGGCAGGCAAAGTATAAAATGATTGGCGACAAAAACAAAAGTTTAAGCCAAAAGAGCTGATTTTGCTTCACATAGTAACCCTGGTTAAGGGATTTTATTCAACCATCCCAATGCAAAGCGTAAACTTAAATGCCTGGAGCCAAAATATTGCAAAACCACTGCCTGGTTTGGTCATTCAGGGAGGGCCGGTTGAAAGAAAAATCAGGAAGCCAAGCGAAAAATTTCTGCAGGTAGCCAGAAATGAACAGTGGAACTCTCTGCCCCAAGATTACTTTATGCAAGGTGAAAAGAAAAAGTTGCCTTCACCCACTGCACTAAACTGCAGCCGATTTTGGCTCTGTGTAGTGCAAACTCAGCCATTGCAAATTGCAAATTAAAACAGGGCACTTGCCATTAATTGCTGCTCATCCATCATTAAACAAATCAAAATTAATTCAAACTCTAGCAGAAGCTAAATCGTGGCTCCCGGCTTAAGGAAAGGACAAATGTGCGAAACTCCCCTTTTGTTCATTTTTAAAAAATAAAACTAACTCGAAAAGGGGGGAAAGTGAGAATAGAAAGTCCAACAATGCTCCGGAGACCAGGACTGACTTTGTGAAAACAATGAGAGAAAACTGTAGACATGCGATTGGCAATACACAATGGTTTCTGCTTTTTATCCTTATTTTTTTTCTCCCCAGCTGAACAATAAACCAGCTGCCCTAGGGCAACAGCAGGGGCTAAAAAACAGGAGAAGGTGCCCAGAAATTAATTGGGAACATTAAAACCACCAATGCTCCCTTTTTTTTTGCCCCCAAATAAAACTTTGAAACACAGATACAAAGCAGTTTGTCCGTTCCAAATTATGAGAATTTTGCTTCTGGGTTTTAGAGCAAAATTTGCATTGTTGAGCCATGTTTGAAAGCCTGGATTAGGCACCTAGGCAAAATCACAATAAATCTCGTGCCGGTCCGATTTAAGAGGCCCTGCTGAATTATTTTTGAGTTTTTAGACAGTTTCCTTGGCCCGAGGTAACGGGGGTTCAAATCCCACAACACAGCCTTCTCTGCATCTCACAAGGACCGGCAGCCTTATGCAAGAGAGATGTGTGATCTCCCCGCAAAAACAGCTTTCACAACAACAGATGGACAGGATAAAAGGAGTGCGAAGACACCCACTAAGGGACAAAGCGTCCTTTTGTTGGTCCAAGGAAGGATTATTTGTGCTTCCCTTGAAAACACGCTGGACAAATCTTTCTAGGTTATCCTAGACATGGAGGCAGATGTCGGATAAACCATTTAACAAGGCTCTCCGGGAAGGGAGGAAATAAAGAAATGAAAAAATAAATGGAAAACAAAAAAAAAAACCAGTCGGTTTTAGTGTCATCTCGTCCGTACCTGGAGAAGTGGTGTGTTTTTCTGACCTTGGGGATGTGCAATTCTTTAAAATAAAAAAATCACCTCCCAATTTCAGCAAAAGAATTGAAAAACTTGCCTTGGCTCAACTTACATTTAATTCAGACATATGGTGCAGATTGTGGCTTTATCAGGGATCGCAACGTTTCCCGTCAAGAAAATAAAAAATAAATAAATCACTATTTGGCAGCCACAGGGGACGCTTGGAAAATTTGGAGCATCTGTTCGGCATTCTGAGATGCCGTACAGCCAGAAATTGTGCAAGCTACATTTTTTTTTTGGCTTTTGTGCATTGTGAAAGCCGAGCCTTCCATACCCCAAGGAGCGATATGACACTTCGCTTTTATCAAAAACCACCAAAATTTAGCCCGAGTCTGACTTTCTTTTGCATTGCAACATAGAGGGATTCTTGGTTTGCGTCACACGGCTCTTTCGCAGGGCTGTTTCGAAGGCCGATTAACAACCCAAGGCGACTGAGCCAACATTAACCTAATTCCCACCTACCCCATTGCACAAAAGAAAAGTACGATCAACACAACTTTTGGCTGCTACAATTTTTGGTTTTTCCCCAGTCCTCCTTCTTCCTTTTAGGTAAAGAGGGATGTTTTAGGAGTTTGTGATGCACGGATTGGGTAGTGTATCAGTGACGAAGAAGGAACGCGTTTCCAGGTTGGGTGGAACTAAAGACTACATCTCCCATGCTCCTCTCTTCCTCTTCCAAGCAGGCCAGCAGTTGTGCTAGAGGAGGCAACAAAGCAGTTTAGCCGAAGGTTGTTTTGCAAGCATCAACATCAGGCGTTGTGATGCGTGAGGCATCCAAGTTAGATAATGGGAAGGTGAGAACAAGGGTACCGTTCATAAATCGGTGATGAAGAAGGAACATGTTTCCAGGTTTGGTGGAACTGCAGACCCCAATCTCTTACGCGCCTCCTCCTCCTCCTCCAGCACACCTATGCTGGAGGAGGGCAAGAAAGCGGCTTAGCAGAAGGTTGTCGTGCCCAGGGTGCAAAAGTCAACATTGGGAGTTGCGACGCACGAAGCATCAAAGTTAGTTAAGGGAGAGACTGGAAGGAAGGGTACCCTTCGTGAATTGCATCTTTCCTCAGACGTACACACAGATCCTCAGCTTCCACTTCACAGAGCCCACTCAACAACAACAACAACAACAACCCTCTTCTACAAACGGCCTTGTTTTTAGGAGTCCTTTCGCAGACACGATCCTCATGTCAGAATCGCCTGTCTCCCAGAGTCCTGCACGTCCGCATCCAAAGTCTGGTGCTTCTCCATCACCCCCAGAACGTCATCCAAAATGGAGGGTCCCAGATCTACGTGAAGGGAGAGGAGAGACCCGGCATGAGTTAAGGGTTCGTCTCTTTTCTCCCCCTCGACAAAGCCGTTCAGAGGGGCAGGGGCCTTGGAGTCCTCAAGGGCTTCGGAAGCCCAACCGTTGGTGGCCAGAGGGTGAGCGTGGGCCTCTGTCGGCGGAGCAGCATAGTCCTTGTCATCCAAGTGGAGGCGGGGTGGCTTGGGCGGGGCCTGGGCGGAAGGTAAGGTCAGCGCCTGCAGGCCGCCAATGATCGGTAGAGAAATGGCGTTCTTGAGCAGCGGCGAAGGGATGTCCAACGAGAGCGGCTCATAGCCCGAAATCGTCGAAGTCCGCGCGAACTCAAAGGGCACCACGTAGTGTCGGTTCCCGTCGGCATCCACCTTCTCCGACCTGGGCAAGAGATGGAACTTGCCTTGAAGGAAAGAGATGTCTCCGAACATGTCGTTCTCCCCCTGGCTACCGATGTGGATTGTGTGCCGGAAATCCCCCAGGGGAGGGCTGATCATCTCGGAAGAGAGAATGTCGCGCAGTTTCTCCTTTTTGCCTCGGCGGCTCCCTCGCTTCAGGTAGATGGGCACTTTGGTGGCGGCCATCTTGCCAAACACTAGAAAGGGGGAACAGAAGAAACGGAGGATTTCAAAGGTCTGGATGGACCGTCAGAAGCTAATCAAGTGGGCGGTTGGAAACGCAAAGACGAGCTGTATCTGTCCCAACTGGATCCCGTCATGTTTGAGTTGGTTAAAGGCTCCAAGCTAGAAACCAGGAGACAGTGAGTTCTAGCCCCACCTTAGGCATGAAAGCCAGATGGGTGATTTTGGGTGAATCACCAGGAGACGGTGAGTTCTAGTCCCATCTTAGGCATGAAAGCAGACTGGGTGACCTCTTAGGCCAATCACCAGGAGACTAGGAGTTCTAGTTTAGACATTAAAATCATCCGCGTGACTTTGGGCCAATCCCCAGGCGACGGTGAGTTCTAGTCCCACCTTAGGCATGAAAGCAGACTGGGTGACCTCTTAGGCCAGTCACCAGGAGACTGGGAGTTCTAGTTTAGACATTGCAATCATCCGTGTGACTTTGGGCCAATCCCCAAAGGCGACGGTGACTTCTAGTCCTGCTGTAGACATTAAAACCATCCGCCTGACTTTGGGACAACCTCTCTGAAACCAACTCACCTCACAGGGAAGGCGCGTTGGCATAGTTTTGCCGCCTTGACTCATTTGCCAAAACAATAAAGGCGGGATATAAATAGACAAAATTAAAATGCAGGCAAAACTCACCTCGGAAAGACCAATTTTTCCCAAATCTGCTCAACGCAGAGGGGTTTCCGCAGGTTGCCCTTCTGGTGGGGAGGCTTTGAAGAAGCTTCGCCTCGTGGATCCACAGGTGTGACGCTCAGCAGGAACACCTGAGCACCATTCTGATCCTTCTGCAGATCAACCACGCTTGTCCTCGTGTTCAAAACGAAAGAGAACCTGGCAGGATTTCAGCTGAGTCCCATCGTCTCACCCACGTGCAAGGAACTGAAGGGAAAACAAACAACACCCCCATGAAATTCAAACGATCCCGTTTTGAAGGCTGGGCAGATCCCTCAGCAAGGGATTTATTTAAACCCAGCTCTTCGCAGCCAGCTGTTGCGTAATCTTTGATTTCAGGAGAGAAGCCATCTTAGCGACTGCATCCGATTTTATCTTTATTTTTTTGCCACGGCCATTAAACGAGACATCACACAGAAGCCAGAGCTGGGAAGGTTGCCAACGGGGAATCATGCAACCCTGGGATGCTGTAATGGCTACAAGTGCGAGGAACAGCCCCGAGTCACCTTTTTTTCCCCCCAGCCCCGTTGCAACTCGGAACGGCGGTGGTAATGAAATGGTCGTTCAGTTGAAGACTACCTGGATTTTTCACTTTCTGAATTAAAAGTAAACAAGAGCAATCACAAAAACAATGATTATCGGCGGTGAAACCCTGAGCTGACCTGTCCAGTCCTATCTTTTTATCCCCCCCTGCTTGATTTAAGCTGCATTAAGTCCTACCCAGCCATTAACCGAGATAATTACGGGGTTTTTCCTTTGCCTGGAATGATCATTAGGTTGACTCAGTTCTCAGGCTCCCTGGGTGGCCCAGGGCAGCCACCGTCCTTCACAACATCCCTTGCAGGCTTGTTGTGCGGGTTGAAAAGGAGCCTGGAAGGAGTCTGCTTGGGATGCTAGGAACAGGTAGTCCTCGACTTACGACACTTCACTTAGTGACCGTCCAAAGTTACAACGGCACTGAAAAAAGTGACCCAAGGACTGTTTTTTTTTTCACACTTACAACCGTTGTAGCAGCCCCGTGATCAAAACGGAGACAACTTGGGAACTGACTCACATTTATGATGGTTGCAGTGTCCCGGGGGGGTCATGTGATCCCCTTTTGCGACCTACCGACAGAGTCAATGCCAGATCCAGTTAACAACAGTGGTTCCAATTTAACAACTGCAGCAATTCACTTAACAACTAAGAGCCGTGGTGGCGCAGTGGTTAGAGGGCAGTACTGCAGATGACTTCTGCTGACTGCTGGCTGACCAGAGGTTTGGCAGTTCGAATCTCACCAGGCTCCAGGTTGACTCAGCCTTCCGTCCTTCTGAGGTCGGTAAAATGAGGAGCCAGATTGTTTGGGGGGGCAAGAGGCTGACTCTCTAAACAGCTTAGAGAGGGAGGTGAAGTGGTATAGAAGTCTGAATGCTATTGCTATCTTCCTTCCTTCCTTCCTTCCCCCTCCCTTCCCTTCCCGTGGTTATAATGCGATATTGCTGGCTAACTCTGTCCACTATCTGGAGTTTGATCCTGACCAGCTCCAGGTTGACTCAGCCTTCCGTCCTTCTGAGGTCGGTAAAATGAGGAGCCATATTGTTGGGGGCAAGAGGCTGACTGTACACCACGTAGAGGGGGCTGTAAAAGCACTGTGAAGCGGGATATAAGTCTCTCTGTCTGTCTGTCTCTCTCTCTCTCTTTCTCTCTCTCTCTCCCTCTCTGAGAGCTGTGGTTGCTCAGTGATTGGAATGCAGTATTACAGACTAACTGCCCACTGCCAGCAGTTCGATTCTGACTCCGTAATTCCATTTTCTATTTTGAGATGGTTCAATTGGGTCCATGTGATTGGAGAAAAAGGAAAGTACCTAGTTATTGCTGACTGCTGCAAATTCCTTATGGACTTATGACTTTGACGACCAGATGGATTTCAGAAACAAGAGTTTTGCTGTAACAATAAAGTACAAAGTACTCATAATTGTAGTTATAATTGCTGTAAAGAAGTTCAAAAGTTATTTCTTTCTATTACTTTTGTTTCTGTTTTTCTTTTGCCTTTTTCTCTTTCACATATATCTTTCATTTCATTTATATATTTATTTATTTATTTATATATACACACACACACACACACACATTAAGTATACATGTGTCTATGTTTGTGCTGATACATACAAAAACCAGCTGTAATTGACCCAGAAAAGTGACCCCTGTGCTTTCATAGTTAATTGAACCCTTTCTTTAATTAAATATTTTTAATTAAATGTAATTAAAGCCTTCCTTTATGTCTGTTGCTTCCTTTTCTTCACCTAACAAGACCCGAGTCTGAAAACATCCATGGCTGAAATTATAATCTGTTGCTCACATCCAAAGGAGGAATCTCTCATTATTCTATTTTGGAGAAGCTGGTACCCAGGGCTGCATTTCTTGGGCATTTGGCAAGGGCAACACCTTGGCTTGGGGTCCAGCTGGTCACCTCTGCAGGTTTGGTTGGCTGACACATATTTTGGATGGATGGACTTCAATTTGCAGAATTCCCCAGCCAACCTTTCCTTCCTGTCATCCATCTTCCTTCCTTATTTTTTCCTTTAATCTTCCTTCCTTCCTTCTCTTCCTTCCTCTCACCTTCTATCCATCTTTATCTTATCATTTCCTTCCTTCTCTCCCTCTCTCCCTTCAATCTTTTTCCTTCTGTTATTTTTTCTTCCTTCTCCCTTTTATCCGTCTATTTTCCTTTTATCTTCCTTTCTTCTCTCCTTCCTCTCACTTCCTTCCTTCCTTCCATCCATCTTTATTATTTCCTTCCTTTTATCTTCCTTCTCTCCCTTAAATCTTTATTTTTCCTTCTGTTTATCTTTCTTTCCTTCTCTCCCTTCTTCTCTTATCCACCCATCCATCTTTCTATTCCTTCCCTTCCCTCTGCTCTTTCCTCCCTCTCTCCAATCGCCTTCCTTCCATCCATCTCTCCTTGTTCCCTCTCTTCCTTTTTCTCTGACTTCTCCCTGCAGCCAATATTCAGATTACAATCCTTGGGTTTGAGGCCATGGAAGAAACTTTTTATTCTTGCTAAAGCAGCAAAAGACGCTTTGCTTCCAAAGAAGCACGAGAAAGAATCCGGGCCAAACTGGAACCAACCCCGGGCAGCCTGCCAGCCTCACCAACATGCCAGGTTAATCTTTCTAGCCGTTTCCGTGAGATTCAGAGACACACCCAACGTTTTTACAGCAGCTGCCCTGCAAAACCAACTCAGCCTTCCTCATCTGACCCAGGTTACGACCTCACAGATGAGAGCAAAGATATGGGTTTTTTTCCATTGCTATTCTAGGCAGTCCTCGACTTACGGCTGTAATGAAGCCTGGAATTATGGCTAAGTTCATTGCGGTCATTAAGTGGATCATTTTTGCAGTGGTTGTTAAGGGAATCCGTTTTACCCAATGGGCTTTTGTAATGTCAAAAATTCCGGGCCGGTAACCACAGGGATGTTTGCAATCCTCACTTTACAGCCCCTATTCGTTTAGCAACCGCGCGAAGTTCCAACGGCACTGATTCGCAGCCAGTCCTTGCACTTACGACCGGCGTGTGATCAAAACCCAGCGACTTGGCAACTGCCACATATTTACGCTTCCTGACCAGCTTCCGAAAAGCAATGGGGGGGGGATGGATTTGCTTAATGGCCACCTGATTCACTTAACAACTGCAGGGATTTGCTTAGCAACCTCGGGGGCGGGGGGGGAGGTTGTAAAATCAGGCACAATTGAGTTAACCACCTTCAACCACTCAAGGAAACTTTCAATCACGAACTTTTGGGCCAGATGTTGGCCTGGGGTGGGAAGTGGCTTTTTTTTTTTAAAGCCATGCTCTTAAAAACCTCATCCCACAAATACACAAAACCACAATTTAACCTAATCCCATCCTGACGGATTTATAGAGCCCTCTGAGCTAAACGAGGAAACATTTATTTATACTAAACATATACACAACACGGTCTCTTAAACAAACCTCCGCAGCAAAACCGGTAACACAACATAAAAACCTTACGTATCTGACATTTCCCCCCCCCCCCAAAATTGTGTGCATGGTCGGGATCACAACTAAATGTGGTTTTAATTATATTTCCTTAGCTCGAAAAAGACTTTCTAATCCCCGTTTTCGGCCACTTCCTTCTACGTTTGCATTCTAAATGACAAGGCCGGAATTCACGAATGGCTTGGATTGCCAAGCCGTCAACCGGGGTTGTGAACAAACCACAATCAAAATTTTGTGCAAGGGGTAGAACTAAACTCCTGGCGAGGACCAAACCACCAAAAATGCATCAAAATTGGCAACTGCCTTGAAATATCCTCAACCTCCCCCACTTGCCACATGGCAAAGATGCCAGCCAACTTAAACCTGGTTAAGGCTTTAAACCACCTCGTTTCACAGCCCTGCAGCTACGTAAGGATAATCCAGCCCATTTCCTTTTTCAGATCTTATCCCTATTAAAGTCCGGAGCATGGAATCCACCCCCAGCTGTTCTTCAAATCCACCAGCAGGCCAGCTCTTAAAACAAAAATTAAAAAATAAAATAAAACAACCAACCTCAATTATCCCACACCCAACATTTCCGTATCCATTTTAAGAAGATCTTCCAACTTAACCCCACCACCACCACCACGCCTGGCTTAATTGCAGCTCAGGCTAGCTTCAACCAGGACGGGGACACATTTAAAGGATTAAAGAGAGGTTTGCACAAAACTTTTGCACGCTGCATGAAATGGGAAGGAAAGGAAGAGGGGGGGCTTCGCCAACCATGGAGTTGGGGGGAAGGCACAGCGGGGTGGGAGACGAGGAAGGGGTGCTCCTCTCTTCCCCTCCCTCCCACTAGGCATGACGTCGTGTTCTTGGGATGTGAGTCAAGCCGCTCACACGCAAGAGCAAGAATGAGTGTGTGTGTGTGTCTTACACGACTGACTTGGCCGTGTTTGGACAGATCAGAGGCTGCTTTAAGGAGACTCCACCCTTGTTGCGTAAGGCTCAGCATTACAACATCTGCAAAACACACACAAATACACACACACACACACTCTTCCAAAAAAAAAAAAGGAGTGGGGGGAGAATTCCAGAGCTGTCAGGTTGCTGATTCCCTTGCATGTCCCAAATGTAGCAGGGGGTGTGAAACAATCAAGGCTCCAAAAACTAGGGGGCCGGCTGCTTGGCTGCTTTTTTTTGGCACAAGCATTGTCGTCTCTCTGCAAAAAAAAAACAACCGCTGTCGCATTTGTTAAGCTTTCCAGAGTTTTCCTGCACCAAAAAGAAGAAAAAATAATAATAATTGCTCCTCACTCACTGTTGGTTTGGGGGCTGAAGAGAGGAAGGGGGTTGTCAAAGCACTTTTCTGCGCTTCTGATATCCAACGTGGTTCGGGCAACGTGCAATGCAGGCGTAGTCCTCGACTTACAACGGTTTGTTTAGTGACCGTTCCAAGTCACCCCAAAAAGAGACTTACGACCTGTTTTTCACGCTTAAGGACCGTTGCAACATCTCCAGGATGCAAATTTTAGACCCTTGGCTACTGACTCATGTTTACAACAGTGGCAGGGCCCCGTGTGTGTGTGTGTGAGACGTGATCCCCTTTTGCAACCTTCTGACGAGCCGAGTCCACAGGGAAGACAGATTCGTTTCACAACTAGGATACTAATGGATCAACCACAACGATTCGCTTAACAACGGCGGGGTGAAAAAGGTCGTAAAACGGGGCAAAACTCACCGGGCGAATGTCTCGCTTAGCCACAGGAAATGTTGAGCTCAGTTGTGGTTGCTAAGCCGTAGGTAAGAAAGGGAAGGGGAGGAGGAAAAAAAACCCACCCCCCAATAGTTTAGTTTAGAATATTTTCTCCACTCAGATCTTCTTTATGGATGCTGGAACTATCCATTTCCAGAATGGTCAAGGTTTGGAAGAGGGGAGTTTGTTTTTCAAAGGTTGGACAAGGCTGAATCAGCACACACAACGCACACAACACTACACACACAGAGAGAGTTTTTTTCTCTTCAATTTTGCACCCACCGAGACACCCGGCTTTGCAAAAGAGGCCAGCCAGGTTGACAAATTTGGGAAAGGAGGGGAGAAACAGGAGAAGCCTAACCAAATGGCCCTTTAAGCCCTTAATGGAACCTCCAGGTCCAGGAGCAGTCTACCCCCGGAAAGAGCAAAATTGCCCAGGCGCCCACAACCCTATGAAGGGTGGTTTGAGGGGGAGGGTTCCTTTGGAAAGGACAGCTCTCCTGCCAAGACCAACACTGGGACCCTGGCAGCCCATCATCCACAACCCCAACTTTGGATTGTCAACAGCTGTGGGACCCAATTAAGGACACCCAGGTGGTGTTTGTGCCACGCCCCCCCCCCACCTATTTGCAAAACGTTGGCTGGGTTCACACCACCCCCTTAAGCCAGGATTCAAACCCACCCCACAAACCGACTCCCAGCGGTTCTATTTTTCCCCAGCAAACTTGATTTTATTCGCATAAGGTCCTGGGCCAATCGGGGCAGGGATTTGAATCGTTTCTCCGCTAAGCCAATTAATTAGCCAGGGTTGAACCAAGATCAAGCCAGCTTGGGTCGGAGGGGAGGGAGGGCTGGGCTTCAGAAGGGCTCGTTGTTGGGTTTTCTGGGTGTTTGTTTGCCTTTGGGGAGCGCTTGCCGAGGTTTGAAGTTATTTGGAAAGAAAGAAACAACTTGCGGAAACTGCTCGCAAATAAATAAAAAAAAATTACAACATAACAGAAAGCCCGCCGGCCCAAGGGAGGAGGAATGGAGAGAGAGAGAAAATAAAAACCCGAAAAAATACAGCCCAAGCAAACTTGGAATCATGGTTAGAGCTGGGAGCTCCCAGGTTTGTCACACACACACACACGAAGTTTCTTCAACAATACATTGTTTGAATTAAAGGCGGGGGGGGGGGAGCCGCTTCGACGCTTTTGGAAGCGTCCCAGAAGCCAAAAGGCGGGTTTCACTCCCTTCCCAAGAAGCGGGAGACGAACCCCGCGTTTCTTCCCTCCTCCCCCGCATTCACACGTTACGCCCCGCGGGAACGTGGGAAGGGTTGTCCGGAGCGCCCAAACTCACGAAAGTGGAGAATCAGGATTTGCCGGGGCGGAGGTAGTCCAGCAAGACCCTTCTGAGCATGGACAGAGCGCTTTTTCTCCTTCCCAGCCCCCGGGGGGGAAAGAGGAAGTAAGAAAAAGAATAAAGAAATAAAGTCAAGGGGAGGGGGGGAAAAGAAACACGAATTTCCGTGCAGGCCAACTTTGCATTGGTTCCCTTGCAAAGACTTACCCAGCCAAGCGGAGCACGCGAACCCAACCGCGTTCCCACGACCAATTCCCAGCAGAAAGCTTAAAAGCCTCGCCGGCCAGCGCTCGCCACCCCTTAGGCCCCGCCCCTCCGCGTGCCCCAGCCAATCCGAGCGGGCTGCGATAAATCCGGACCGCCCCCCCTCCTCCCCCCCCCGCCTCCCAGCCCCTCCCCCGCCGATGCTTTTCACCTTGGGGAAGCTTTTCTCGAGAAACCTTTGGCTCGATCGTGGCTTCTTGGCTCGATCGTGGTCAAAGGTTGGTTGTTGGGTCGTGCTTTATTCGAGGGTGAGGGCGTGTCGTCTGCACACAGACTTTGCAAACCGAACATTGTGCCTAAACCCAAAAAGAGTTTCATAGCACACAGGATGCAAAGATGACCTTTTTCATAGTTGAACTATAAACCATGGTTTGTGATTTAACCCTGATGTATATAAGTCTCTGAGCCTAACATTTTCTAGCCATCTTGTGGAGTTACTGTCCTTGTCCAAGCCTAGGGTGTTTGTCTTCTAGAGTTTAGGGCTTTTTAAAAGGTGTTTTTTTAAAAAAAAAAGAAAAGAAAATTATACAATTATAGAGCTCAAAGGAACCTAGAGGTCTTTTAGTCCAACCCCCTGCCCAAGACAGACAATCATATATCATCATGGACAAATAGTTGTCTAGAATGTCTTGCCAACATTCAGATACTCTTGGGGATCTTAGATCTATTATTATAGATCTCGAAGGGACCTAGAAGTCTTCTAGTTTAGGGATTTTAGATCTATTATTCTAACGTTCCTTGAAACACCAAATTGGTTTAACCATGGTTTGATGTTCCGTCTTAAGACATCAGTTCTTGGCTAAAAGAGCCAAGAAAAAGAGAACAGGATTCTTTTCAAAAGTACCATAGCTCTATTAACTGCCCTTCCCACTCTTGGCAGGTTGAAAAACCGATCCCACTTTGCAAAAAGAAATGTTCCCACTGTGGATTTTAGGGTTAAAAAAAATCAAACCACTGGGAAAAATGTGCAGTTTCAGGACTGATGTTTTGTTTATCTCTTAAATTCCATTTTTTTTGCAGGTGTTTGTGCAGGCATCCAAGTGGTTTTGAGAAGTGGCACTCTATTATTATCCATTTAAGCCCTCAATGCTACGGAAGAAATAAAATGCCAGGTTCAAAAGTGTGAGATTTCCAAATAAAAAATAAAAAATAAAATAAGCTGCGCTTTGGGTGGCCTGAGAGAACTAGCATTTAAATTTCTGTTGGGGGGGGGGGGGGGGCAATCCTCACAAGGTTGTTGTAATCATTAAAATGCAATTAAGGGATCCAGGCAGAATTCTTGGGAAGGTCCTTTTCCTCCATCGCATTTCCATGTGTCGGTATTTGCAACTTTGGAAGAATCAGTGGGGGGAAAAATAAATAAAAATAAAGGCAACAATCCCTAAAGACATGGAGTGGAAAATAAACAAATTCAAAATCTGTTCTGAGGAAATGATTTTGCTGGATCAGCTAAAAATTTTTTACAGTGTGGAGATCTCAAGGGCAGTACGGGTGTCATATGGGCAGTCCTCAACTTATGACCACATTGAGCCCAACATTAATGTTGCTCAGTGAGACATTTAAGTGAATTTTGCCCGGTTTTCTTACCACTGTTGTTAAGTGAATCACTGCAGTTTAACAACACGGTCGCTAAGTGAATCTGGCTAGTTAGAAGGTCGCAAAAGGGGATCACATGATCCCGGGAGACTGCAACCGTCGTAAATATGAGTCAGTTGTCCAGCAGCTGAAATTTTGATCACGTGACTTTTGGGATGCTACAATGGTTGTAAAGTGTGAAAAAGTGCTCACAGCTCACTTTTTTTTCAGTGCCGTCGTAACTTTGGGTCACTAAATGAAATAAATCAAGGACTATCTGTATTCTGACCCAGCTTGGTTGAAATTAAATGAAGCGTTTTTCTTGGGAAAACTGATTCTGCTTTGCCTCCACAATTTTCCCACCCGTTGACCTCAATAAAGGGGAATTTTAAAATTACAGACTGCAAGTGGTGGATTGAATCAGGCAGCTATCAGGGAATCTCTAAATCACGTGTGGGAGAGAAAAAAGAGAGAGGAAGAGATTCAATGAGAATGCCTTGTGTTGCAAAACCTTGTATGGAATTCATCCTTGGGGGCTGTTGAACGCTTGGTACTTTCGATTTCTCTATCCTGGAACTTTCCAATTTTGCATCGTGCAAATGACATTTTTTTCCCCACTCTGCAAATAAAAAACAATCTGAATTTCTAGCCTCATAAAGTAACATTTAGAGCAGTGGTTTCCAGCCTCAGCAACTTTAAGATGGGTGGGCTTCAGCTCCCAGAATTCCCTACCCAGGTTGATTTAAGAGGGGTGGACTTCACCTCCCAGGATCCCCCAGCCAGCATGCTTTATGGACTTCAATATCCCATCTGGGAATTCTGGGAGTTGAAGTCCACCCCGTTTGAAGTTGCTAAGTTGAAAAACTTTCTTTAGAGGTGTTAATCCTAAACATTCCCTATTCAGAGAAAATATATATATATATGTTGGCAAGTTGCAATTTGTGGCCAACCTCCGTTGTCGTGTGGCCGATCTTCCCCCTCCCTGTTCTTCCCTTTCTGGACACCCTTTTTGTATTTCAATATTTTTCTTTCCCATAGCAATGGTTGTTTAGCTAACAACCGAACTGCACTCTGCCTAGCGAGGAAAATTAAACTTCTGAACTTTACTAACTGTATCCCTGGTTAGAGGACAAAGAAGATACAAGCACTTGGAAGGATCCTGCGCAGGTAGTCCTCGACTTACGCCCAACTTGTTTAGTGACCAAAGTTTTACAACGGTATGCATCATAGTTCAGATGGATTTCTGCAGCATAACACCTTGTGGGAACGTGTGTTGTGTTGGCACGGAGCCTGCAACATGGCGGCCGAGAGATTTCCTTATTGATCTTCCCGATTAAGTGATATATTTGCAGAAGCTGTTTTGTGTGTGGGTGTGTTTGTGGGTGTGTGTGAGCATGAGAGGGAGGAACTAATCTTTCTTTGAATGCTGTCCAAATTCTAGATTTTGCAGATTATTCTGACAGGCCGGAGATGAGAACAAATTAAGAAAATTAGAGGAAGCTTCTCAAAATTGAAAGAGAGGATGTCAGAAAGTCAGAACTGGGCCCCCTTAGGAAGGAAAACCATTGTGAAGACTGAAGATTACAGCAGGAATTCTGGACAAGAAGCCCTTTGGATCCTATTCTAGGTTAGCAGATGAGCTTGGTGCAAAGGTGGAGCGTAATTTCAAGCCTTGGAAAGGAGACCACCAGGAGATCTCACTGCCCGCTGCGGACTACACCGGGAAGCTGAAAAAACGTCCCTGCCATGGCTCATGGCTTCCATATTATAGGTAGTACTAACATATGGCCACCTTGAACCCAGTGTTTCTGTTGCTGAGTTTTGCCCCATTTGACGACATTTCTGTCCACGGTTGTTAAGTGAATTGCTGCAATTGTCCAAATGAATGTTTAACCGAGTCCGACGTCAGAAGGTCCCCAAATGGAATCACACAACCCCTTTTGCAGGGGGGACACTGCAACCATCGTAAGTATGAGCCGGTGGCCAAATGGCTGAATTTTGATCATGTGACTGCCCCCCCCCCCCGGGGTGGACGTTACATCAATGCGTGCCAAGTGTCAGACTTTTCATCCTGGGACCACGGGGGGGGGGGGGGGAATGTTGTAAGTCTGTAAAATGGCCCCGTCGCTTTTTCCATTGCAACTTCGAATGGTCACTAAGCAAAATCGTCATATGCTACCGCTAATGTTTTTTTAAACCTCCATACACACTAATGCACACACATGGAGGATTTAAGCCATAGATAGATAGATAGATAGATAGATAGATGGATGGATGGATGGATAGATAGATAGATAGATAGATAGATAGATAGATAGATAGATAGATAGATGATAGATAGATAGATAGATAGATAGATAGATAGATAGATAGATAGATAGATAGATAGATGGGATGGATGGTGAGATAGATAGATGATATAGATAGATGATATAGATAGATAGATAGATAGATAGATAGATAGATAGATAGATAGATAGATAGATAGATAGATGAGATGGATAGATAGATAGATAGATAGATAGATAGATAGATAGAGAGAGAGAGAGAGAGAGAGAGAGAGAGAGAGATGTTGAGACTCTAGAAAAAGTGCAGAGAAGAGCAACCAGGTTGATGAGGGGACTGGAGACTAAAACATTATGAAGAATGGTTGCAGGAACCGGGCCTGGCTAGTCTAGGGAAGAGAAGGACCAGGGGAGACAGGAGAGCATCTTCCAATATTTGAGGGGCTGCCACAGAGAGGAGGGAGGTCAAGCTATTTTCCAAAGCCAGACAAGGAATAATGGATGGAAATATACAAAAATCAAGGAGAGATTCAACCTGGAAATAAGGAGGAATTTTCTGACAGTGAGAACAATCAACTGATGGAACAGAGTTGTGGGAGCTTCATCCCTGGAGGCATTCAAGAAGAGACTGGACTGCCACCTGTTAGGAATGGTGTAGGGTCTCCTGCTTGGGCGGGGGTTGGACTAGATGACCTACAAGGTCTCTTCCAACCAGTGGTGGGATTTAAATTTTTTTTTTACTACCGGTTCTGTGGACATGGCTTGGTGGGTGTGGCAGGGGAAGGATACCGTAAAATCTCCAGTCAGAGGCGGTATTGGCCGGTTCTCCGAATTACTCAAAATTTCCGCTACTGTTTCTCCAGAACTGGTCAGAACCTCTGCTTCCAACTCTGATGATCTGTTATCTATTTCCTGCTTTCTGAGGAAAGCCAGGAAAATCTGATTTTGGAATTCCTCTTGGGCCAGGATGCGTCCCGGGTGGGCTGGGCTGGGCGAGGGTGGAGGAAGGAGGAGAAATATTCAGGCTGGGCTGAGCTTCGCTCTGCAGATTAGGGCCCAGCTGACTCCTGACGTGCCTCTCCGATATGACTTCAAGATTTTGGCATTTGGGGCAGGAAAAAGAGCCCTTCCTGGGGG